TAAAAACGCCTTACTATACATGGTCGTTTTTTTCAGCTAAAAACGCCTCACTATAAATGGTGGGATTTTTTCCGTTAAAAATGCCTTACTATACATGGTCGTTTTTTTTTTCCCCCAATAAAAACGCCTTACTATACATGGTCGTTTTTTGCAGCTCAAAACGCCTTACTATACATGGTCGTTTTTTTCGGCTAAAAACGCCTTACTATACATGGGCGTTTTTTTTTTCGGGTTAAAACGCCTTCCTATACGTGGTCGTTTTTTTCAGCTAAAAATGCCTTACAATACATGGTCGTTTTTTTCGGCTAAAAACGCCTTACTATACATGGTCGTTTTTTCGGCTAAAAACGCCTCACTATACATGGTCGTTTTTTTCGTCGAAAAACGTCTTACTATACATGGTCGTTTTTTTCGTCGAAAAACGCCTTACTATACATGGTCGTTTTTTTCGGCTAAAAACACCTTACTATATGGTCGTTTTTTTCGGCTAAAAATGCTTTACACATGGTTGTTTGTTTTGGGCTAAAAAGCCTCTTCTTCATGGACAACTGTCACTGGGAACTTGCTGGAGCCTATCTCAACTTTAGGCCAGTAGAATTGACATTTATGCTGTCACCGGACAGGGTTTGAACCCGTGCTGCCCGGACTGAAAGCCAGCGTGTATACCTCTACACCACCAGTGACTGTGACTTACTCTGCACGATAGGCGTATTTGACATGCACTCTGGAGGGTTTGCGGGAAAAAGTAAGTGTTAGGTGTTGTATTTTCTCACATCGCTGAGCGTGGCTTGAACCAGGGTTGCCTGGACGGAAAGCCAGCGTGTATACCTCTACACCACCAGTGACTGTGACTTTGCTCTGCACGATCGGCGTATTTGACATGCACTCTGGAGGGTTTGCAGGAAAATGGTTGGTGTTGTATTTTCACACATCATTGAGCGGGGTTTGAACCTATGCTAACTATCAATGGTCGTTTTTTTTCGGCTAAAAACGCCTTACTATATACATGGTCACTTTTTTCGGCTAAAAACGCCTGACTATATACATGGTCGCTTTTTTTCGGCTAAAAACGCCTGACTATCCATATATTTTTTTTATTATTATTTATTTTATTTATTTATTTATTTTTTGCGAAAAACATCGAACTATGCATGGTCGTTTTTTTCAGTGAAATACGGCTTACTATACACGGTCGTTTTTTCCGGCTAAAAACGCCTTACTATACATGGTCTTTTTTTCGGCAAAAAACGCCTTGCACATGGTCGTTTGTTTTGGGCTAAAAAGCCTCCCAGTCAGCAAAGGCATCTGGCCCGGCTTCGGCATGAAGCCGGCACAGCTGGCCTGGTGTCGGCAATGGCATAACGCATGTGGGCCGAACACGGCCCAGGCGTGGCAAAGGAGGCACTGGCTTGACTCTGGCAAACCAGAT